TGTTCATTATTTATTTCATGTTCTTCCAGAATCAGTGAAATAAGCTGTGAAAGTTAATTTCATAAACAATTTCAATAGTTTTCAATTATTAGTGTTGTTTCTTAAAACTGTTTACACTATTGCTGAATGCGTAGAAATGATTTTCAATTACGGAGCTGAAAATCGCTGCTTTGTAAGAACGGCGGCCGCATTCAACGTAAGACATCGTGAAAGAAATGTTGGACACAAGTACATTCGTGAATTAATAGCTAAATTTGAAAAAACAGGATCTGTTTGCCATAAGAAAAGGAATGAGCCAATATTGCTCAATGAAGCCGCTCAGATTGAGGTTCTTGGTGAAGTTGCTATGGCTCCCACTACGTCCCTTCGTAAAGTTGCAGATCAAACTGCACTGTCGCGTGAGTCAATCAGGAAAATATTAAAGCTTTACAAATTTCATCCATACAAACTCCTAATTACTCAAGAATTAGGGACGATGACCCAGACAGACGTATTGAGTTTTGCGAAATTATGACGGACAAGATTATTACTCAACCCAGGTTAATAAAGAATATCTGTTTCAGTGACAAATGAACTTCTTACTTAAATGGCAAGGTCAACTAACAAAACTGTCGTTATTGGAACGACATCAATCCACACATATTATTAGAGAGGGGCCTACGCACTATCCGCAAAAAATAAATGTCTGGCCGGGTATATTAGGCAATAGTATCATCGGTCCTCTCTTCATTAATGAAAATCTAAATGGTGAAATTTATGCAGAAATGTTAGATACAGCTATAGAACCTCTTGTAATTCGTGAGGTGGAAAATCAAAGGGGGACACCAATGGAAATTTTTTCTAGATGAGCATTTGCTGCACTTCCAACAGGACGGAGCGCCTCCGCATTATGTTCGCCCAGTAAGAGAGTGGTTGGATAATCATTACCCAGCGCAGTGGATTAGTAGAAGGGGCCCATAGAATGGCCACATAGGTCACCAGATCTGACACCGCTGGATTTTTTCTTATGAGGCCACTTGAAACCCGTTGTATTTAAAACTCAACCAGACAATAACAACAAAGAATTGTACAGGAGTGTAGAGCTATTTCACCTGAAACTTTTCAAAACGTCAGAGAATAGTTTGAATACCGGTTGTACTTGTGCTTGGAGAAGAATGGAACCCATTTTGAAAAATTCATAAAATAGTAAAGGTAAGCCAGTATTTCATTATCATTATCATAATTTTTCAAGGAGATGCATTATTTTAATGTACATAAAATACATTTCATTCATTTGTGAGGTTAAGTATCACAATTTTGACAAAAAAAACAATGCAGTTTATCTAGAATTCTATAAGTAACACAAAAATGGTAAAAGAACTAGAGGTTGCTATTTAAAATTTTAGGGGTAGGTGCCCTGGGGGTCAAGGGGTTGAAAGTAACACGACAACAAATGCCTCAAAAATTGTCCCCTAGATATGTAAATTGACGTGTTTGGCCAAATGTTCATACTATCATCGGTAGAGGCAATATTAAATACTGTTCGTTTTCAAATTGTCACCCAGTATAGTACATAGGTTTGTATCAGTAAATTTTAAATGATATATAGCCACATTAATAGTTACACGTTAGTTAGTTATTAGTTACAGTTGGCAAAACTATTTTAATACAAAAGTCAAAGGTCTCTTCGGGTTCAATGGACGCTTTTTTTAACCTATTTTAGATGTGTTCGGAGATGTTTTGATTTTGGAGTCATTAGCTTGATCTCTTATTAACTTTTTTTCGCAAAATATTGAAAAATGCATTTATTCTGTGTATTTTACAATATGTCGTAGTCCTAAATACATATTTTAGAATTCTGTTTCATTTTTGAGTTTTACACCTTTAGTTTCGAACGTCTTCGTGATGTTAAAAAACGGAAAATTTATTTTTTTCTGTTTTTTTTTTTATACAAACCAGTCAAGTATTCCGTAGGAGGACCGTGCAACAGTGTGTCGCAAAATTTCACGCAAAATTAACTATCAGCAAGAATACTTTAGTTACAATTTGATACACGTCGATTTTTAACAATATTTGCTTAGTTGCCCATTATGATATTATTTTGAAAAATGTTGAAGACTTAATTTTGATTATGTTAAAAATGTATATAATTCGTATATTCCAAAATTGTTTTGTTTTTGCGATATACTAATTTAGGTCTTGATATACTTAATTATTGTTAAAAAATGCTAGAACTAGTTAAAAAAAAGTCTAGATAAATAATCTATGAAATTAGTTCAAATTAGTTCTGGTGAGATTAAAATTCTTCTCTTGGCTCACTCCCATTTATTTTTCTTTTCTTCAACACAGATTCAATTTACTCGTATTAAGCTAAATAAATTATTCATGTGGGTTTGATGCAGTCAGGTAATAGGCAATCTAAACATTAAGCCATACTAATCCTCTGACAATATTTGCCTACGTATAATTCGTAGGATGCTACCTACCGAAACCAAATACTGCATATATTGGTAGACTAAGAAATAGAGTATTAGTTTCTCTTCGTATAGCTCTGATGTACGTCAACTTTGACACGTTAAGCTTCAAGAGTTTATTATTTTTCGATTAGTTTTTCATATAATTAAACAATCTGAATTAAAAAATTCATATAAAGTATGACCTATAGTTCAGATTTTCACAAGAATCTTTTTACAAAGTTTGCTGATAATTTAGTACAAATTAAACATTTATCCTTGTATATGACTAAATGTGTGTATAGGTGTAAAATATATTTTTACACACAGACTTAGGATTTTCTTTCTTGTAAATTTAATCTAATACCTATGTTGCCATCATGGGGCGGGCATTCCTGCGATTTGACAGGTATTTATTTTTAGTACCTGAACGCACCATGGATTGTGCTGTGGTCGCTTCCAGATATCGGCCAGTCAGCCCCACTCCCCAAACTGTCGATCGGACACAATTTTCGCGTCGCACGTGGCTGCACGCGGTCAGTTATTTGTGTCTTGCTTTCCGTGCTGTTCGTTTCGTTACTGTAGTGGTGTGATTCGGTATTTTCTTAGCATAAATTCGCAATATATTTGTTCAAAATGGTATTTTGTTGTGGTGTTCCTGGCTGTAGAAATACTAGCAAAGATGTGAAAACACATTGCCTACCAAAAGACTCTGAAGTAAGAATCTACCTTTAATTTTTATGTTATTATATCTTAATTCAGTCCATTTCAATTAAAAGTTTGTTTTAGAATCTCATTTAAAAATATTAGTTTCTACTAAAGTGTAGTTTTTCCATTATTTTTTTTTTAGTAAATATTCTATTCTCTGTTATTTTATACTAGGTACTTAAAAAAAAAATTTATTGTTTTTATAGATGAGAAGAGTGTGGTGCCAAGCAGTAAATCGACTTGATTTGGTAGATATTTTTTTAATTCTAATAAAATAATATAAAAGTAATTTGTTTTTTATTAACATATATTTTGTCTTATCTTGAATAATTCAAAACAATAAAGTAAGTTGCAAACTATTTATATTTGATGAAATAGTAATCAAAACAATAGTTGCAACTTGTTTTATAGTTTTAAATTATTCAAGATATGTAATTGAAAATAAATTGTAAAATTATTCCGATTTCAATATAGCGGAAAATGAAGCTTAGTACCCGCACGCTCCACAAGCATCGCTGCAAAACATGTTTTGGCAGGAGGACGAGAGTCTCCAATCTCAATTAGTTCTGTTTTCTGTGGTTGCCATATTATCAATAAATTATAATTTTAACTAAAAACTAAAAAAAAATCCAAAAAATGTCGAATTAAAAAAAAAAAATTACGATAAAAACCTCATAGGCGTGTTTCTGGAGTTGAGCGATACTACTAGTTAAAATACTTGCACTTATTTCTGGGACACCCTGTATAGAGTGGTTTCTAAAATATGGCTAGACATTTCTGTAACATAATTTCTACATAATTAAGGCTTATTCACAATAATAAAATTACAATTTATTGCTGCTTTTTAACTGTAAGTATTTTATAATAATATCGTCTGCAAAAGTAATCATAATAATGTCACAGATAACTTACCAGATGTGGCACTTATTTCATCTTGCTGGTAAACGCCGCCGAGATCTCGGATCTTTAACAGGATTATTGTATTGCCAGACCTCATTTTCTTTTCTCGAATGCATTGTTGCCTTTTGTAAGAAATGCATTTTTTTTAGATTTGTGCCATATTTTAATTCTTACACGGGAATACAAATTTGTAGGGCAATATTTCTTTATACAGTCACTTGATAAAAGCGTAAATATCAAGGGATAAAACAGTAAGATCTTAAAGCTTTGAGCAATGAATATTTTTTATAAATACTAAAAAAACAACAAAATCTTTTCATTGGTAAAAGCTATAGTTTTTATGCCTTATAGGAGTAGGGTAAATAGAGTATATTAAGTTTTATTATAAAATGTTTAGTATGTTAAAATTTTCTCTCTTGTAGAATTTAAAATGAGTGAGAGGGGGGGGGGGTTTAATCACTGCGACCTTAAATATCTATTGTGCCCCCCTTTCTTGAGCCATTACACAATCTGTTTCATTGTCATAACCCATCGTACCCCTGTTGTAGAGGGGACAGGGTATTTCCCATCTTCCTCCGACAACAGATTTTTTTTTATAGACGTAGGAAAATACATTTGCGTCTCAGAGCCAGATGATAGACCTGGTATGTCGGACTCAGGTTTCAATACCGACTAAAAACCTCCTTTTTCTCCGGCCTCTGCAGTCCCCGCGGAAACCGCCGTTAAGCATTTTGCTCCGCATCTTCAGGAACTCCTGGAGAGGACGGGCACTCCGGGGAATCATCGAGCTTAAAACCATGAAGATATACTCGAAAGCAACCATGTCCTGAGATCATCTGTGTCAGATAGTAGTTGACCGCACCATATTTTCGATTCAGCCAAACATTCAACTGAGGTAGAAGACTGTACGTCCACCTACCCTTTGTTGTGGCTTCCCACTGTAACTGCCATCGGCGTATGCTATGCTGCATCAGGGCTCATTGCTGATGATCCTCTTTGTCGATAAAATACTTGCCTTTCTTCGGCTAGAATTCCAATAGGAAGCATTCCAGCGATAACGCACACCGCATCCTCAGACACCGTGCGGAAGGCACTAGCTACTCTTAGGGCACTCAGCCTATATACTGATGCGACTCTTCTCCGTGTCCTTTGTATTCTGAGGGCATTAGCCCAAACAGAAATTCCATAAGTCAGTATCGATGTGACTATTGACGACAGCAGTGACCTCCTAATTTGTTTCGGGCCTCCAACATTCGGCATCAGCCGTGATAGGCTAACTCTAACTGCTGATGCTTTGGTACATATATGTTCCACTTGCTGCTTAAAATTTAGCCTGGCATCAAGCATCACTACCAAATATCGGATGAACGGCTGTGATGTGATCTCTTGCTCTCTGACTTCCAGTCTGATGGTTTCACACCTTCTTTCTGTTAGTGATGAGCACTGCCTCTGTCTTATGTTTGGCCAGCTGCAGCTTCATTGCACTCATCCATTGATTAATCCTCCGGAAGGTGATGTCAAAGTCCAGGTTAACATCTTCTAGATGCTTCACAACAATCACCACGGCCACGTGGTCATCTGCATACACCACTAATTTGAGATTCCTCGGAAGTACAAGGTTTAGTAGTCCATCGTACATAATATTCCACAAAAGCGGTCTCAAGACCGAACCCTGAGGCACTCCTCCAGTTATTTTATAATCCTTTGGACCGCTCTTCGTGTCGTATTTCAGGAGCCTAGATGAAAAGTAGCTTGCAATCATCCTACGCAAGTATCCTGGTACCTTTTTCTTTTCAAAGGCCCAACAACAGATGTTCTTAAACGCCCTTTCACGGTTGGAGTTTGGCCCTCCGTGCCCTTCACAGTCGAAGAGCTTGCCTCCGACTGAGGTACCCGTGAGGCGTAGGCTGGAGGATCTGTCTCCATTTTCTCCACCTCTTTAACTTGTTGATATATTTTTCACCTCTTTAACTTGATACCGGTGTTGTCCCGCATCTATAATACAGGATATATGTCCCTCTTTCTCTATTGTTTCCTTGGATCAATTCCTATTGGGAGGACCGCAATATGATTTACATTTTTATTTTTCAATTTAAATCACTATAAAAGTTTTATGACACAAATACAGGAGGTAAAAAAATGTAAATATATCTGTAGTAAAATTTTCTGATACAGGAGCAAAATAAATGGAAGTTGGTTAGGTTTAGTTAGAAGTTAGTTTAGTTTGGTTAGTTATTAACTACAAATAAAAACACATTTCCAACTTCTTTCATGTTTTTTTTAGATTTTTTGCCTTTCATAGTAGCCAGCAGGCAGAAAATTTGTAGAAAATTAATAAATTAAGGGCTACCAATCATAAAAAAAAGTAGTCACTGCCTCGACATTGGGGAAAGTATTCTTACAGTTTTTATGAAAAACTTCAACAGTATTTTTGTAACTCTCCATATTAATTAATTTTTTTTTGCTCCCGACGACGCAAAAAGACAAACTTTCCGAAACATTCAGTATTTTTTGCCCATTAGGCAAATTTGTTTATTAGTAAGCCACTGCTGACAATTAGTTTAACGCAGGAAAAAAAAATAACTATTTTATATTTTGGATTTTCTTACAATGGCGAGATACCCATAGGAATCTTCATTCCCATAGGAATCTTCAGTCAGCATGCATATAGAACGGGCAGATCCACAGAAACTGCTCTGTACCAAGATGAACTGTATGCAGATGACATAGTCATGATCGCTCGGGGGAAACATGAAGGCACCTTGTGTGATATTATCCAAAGAGGACTCCGTATCACTGAGAGATGGTGTAGGACTGTCGGGCTGAGTATCAACTCAGACAAAACCGCGATAGTGCCATTCACCAGAAGGCGAAGTCTGAAAAACTTGAAAAGAATCCAACTAGATGGAAAGGAAATACTGCCAACCCAGGAAGTTAAATACCTGGGAATAACCCTGGACAGTAAACTCCTGTGGAACAGGCATATTAAGAACACTACCAGCAAAGCCATAAAGGCTCTCATGATATGCAGAAGACTGGCCGGAAATAGATGGGGCTGCTCCCCTAACATTTTGCGCTGGATGTATACCATGATAGTAAGACCCATGATTACTTATGGAGCAGTTGCCTGGTACACAAAACTAGAGCAACGGACGGCAAGGCTAAGCCTATGCAAAGTCCAGAGACTAGCATGTGTTTGCATCACAGGAGCCATGAGAACCTGTCCAACAGCAGCAATGGAGGTCATTCTAGATCTAACACCACTGCACATTGTCATTGGTAGATATGCCAATGCGACAATGATTAGAATGGTCACTAACGGAATTAGTACTGGGAGAATTGTCAGATCAGGGGCTTGGAACACCCTCAAAAAGGAAATACCACTTCTGCAACTCCCAATGGACGATATGCCAAGAACGTACAACTTTGACAAACATGTCAATGTAGTATTGAGCAATAAGAAGGATTGGAAGAGCGAAACGCTTGCCCAGCAGTTAAAAGACCATACCATAACATGGTATACTGATGCTTCCAAAACCAATACGGGAACAGGGATCGGAGTGTTTGGGCCGAGAGCTAATTACTCCGAACCAATGGGCACTTACCCTAGTATCCTACAGGCAGAAATCTACGCTATCGAGAGATGCGTACAACTTATCTTAGATAGGAACTATCGGAAACAAGAAATAGCCATCTTATCTGATAGTCAAGCAGCGTTAAAGGCGATCAACTCAGTCTCAATCAATTCGAAATTGGTCAAAGAATACATAGAGAAGCTGAATAAATTAGGCAAAGAAAACAAAGTCCTCCTACACTGGGTGCCTGCTCACCAAGGGATAAAAGGCAATGAAAAAGCAAATAATCTAGGTAGAAAAGGAGCGAACACTCCACTAACTGGACCAGAACCGTTCTGCTTTCCAAGTGGTAACCAACTCAAGGAGGAACTCAAGAACTTGGAAGATTCCATCCGCAACCTGGAATGGAAATCTTGCAATGGTCTAGGACACTCGAAGAAGTTTCTGAGGGCTTATGATCAATAAAAATCACAGATCTTCCTAGGTCTGAGTAAGAACAATCTTCGGATTGTCACGGGGTTTTAACAGGACACTGTCTCATCAATGAACACCTCAGTAGATTGAAACTAAGAAGAAACGGCGAATGCAGATTCTGTGGGGAAGATGGTGAAACACCAGTACACCTCATCACTGAGTGCGCCGAGACGACAACCATTCGTGCCATGAATTTTGGTACGACTGATATTGGAGATGGAGAACTACCCTCTATAAAACCGTCCCAGATACTGGCTTTTGTCAAAGCCCTGGGACTGTATGATGAGTTATGATTCAAGAAAGGGGGACACAATGGATCTGTAAGGTCGAAGTGATTAACCCCCCTCCCACTCATTCTAAATTCTAAATTCTAAATTCTACCCATAGGAATTATTTGGAGAGATAATTCCGCCACAGAGGTAGAGACATTTTTTAATTAATTATGTTATTTACATACTCTAATCCACTAATACATGCGATAAAAAATAAACACAAAAAGCTGCAGTCCAGAAAGATAATAAAAATACACAACAATGATATTGTTACACGTGAATAAAGTTTTTTTGTCGTAAAGCCGGAATATGTCTCTCTTCTAAAAAATTGAAGTGTTACTGACCGGGCTGTCAAAAGAATGTTTTTATTAAAATATATAGAAAAAATGTTATATAATATCTCCCAGTTTAGCTTTGCCGCCGTCTATGCAAAAACAAAAATTCTTAAGATCAAACGAACTTACCTTAAGTGATGTTCGATCTTGATTATATGTAGGATTGTATTAACATTATACCACCTTAGGTATAATGATTTTTTAAATATATTTTTATATATAAGAATTGTTAATATTTTGCAACCTTAAGCAAAACATATTATTCTGTCAAGTTATGAAGGTGATATTTATCACCCTAGATAAATATTGTGACAGGATACTGTATAGATATAAATATTATTAAATATATATTGTATTAACATTATACCACCCTAGGTATAATGATTTTTTATATATATTTTTATACATAAGAACAGCTAATATTTTGCTACCCTAAGCAAAACATCTTAGTCTGTCAAGTTGTGATATTTATCACCCTAGATAAATATTGTTACAGGATACTGTATAGATGTATATTGTATTAACATTAGACCACACTAGGTATAATGTCTATTCTTTTAAAGAAAATTGAAAGAATACCCGTACAATCGTCTACTCTAGGCGAAACATAGTATTCTGTCAAGTTGTGATAATTATCACCCTAGATAATTATTGTGAGGAATACTGTGTAGATAAATATTTTATTAACATTATACCACCCCAGGTATACTGATTTTTTGTTACCGATTTCTATCTTTATTTTTATTTAGTTATTTTTGTGAACAAGATTCTCTCTCATTATATATTAATTGTTATATCGTTATGAGTCGCAGACTTACTACGACTCCTCTCTCTGTGTCTTTTTCTTGAAGGATTCGGCATTTCCACTGTTTTCCGCACTCCGAAAAACATCAAAACGTAACGTGGACCGATACGTACGCACTAAAAAGAAGACTGAATATGGAGCAGTACGGCGCGGCAGGACGAACGGCGGGGGTTTTTGCTTTTTCAGCTTTAAAATAGTGATCGGTTCGGACTAATCCGAAGGTACTACAGACTATTATTTATGAGACGAGGCCGGAATATAATCAATATTTACATAGGCCAGATAGATAAGGAAAAACTAATGACTAAAACCGACAAAGGTCCAACAAAAGCGAAGCTGTACCGCTAAAAAAGTAAGCAATATTTTTTAATAATTTTACTTTTCGTATTTATTTTTTTTTTCGATTTGGATTTCTCAAAAAAGATATTTTGTAGTATTCTAAAATTTCCCTAAAAAAAAGAACATTCTCAAATTTCTGTACCCTTTTCTCTATTTTCCGATTTTTCAGCATATTTAAAGGGACCGAATTCATCCTTGTTTTATTTAGTTTCCCCGCCTTACTGATAAATCTGTGTTAATCTGTGATAATGTTATGATAGCTTGTTCTTTACTGACTGTTTGTACACGATCAGGAAAAACGAGAGACGAAACGCTATTTTGAACAGAACACATTTATTTTGAAGTACAAATTGATTTTTCTATTTTCCTCATTTTTAACATGTAATCTAATTAATATGTTAAGATAGATGTAATAATGAACACAGAAAAAGCATATTATTCGCAGTCAAATTTATTAACCAAACCCTCACCAATGTGGCGTTGCCCAGGAGGAACGTCGACGGAAACCAAATATAGTGACATTTACAAGTCTAAACGGTAATAACTG